AGATGACATCCTTCTCCCTATTGATTCATATCACCCTGCATTAATATTAAACATATTATGTGCCGAGACCCAGCAGTGTAACTCAGACTACCCGCAACCTGATGAGTACTACTATGATTTTAAATCTGCCGAGTATGCACTTCTCAATGATCATCTAAGTATGATCAACTGGGATGCTTTACTCCAAGGCCCAACTGTAGCAGAAATGGTCAGTATTTTTTATGACATTCTTTACACTGCTATTGACTGCTTTGTACCAAAGAAAAAGCTTTCCACCCATAAATTTCCTAAATGGTTCCCCTTCGACCTAAAGGAACTCATAATCAAGAAGAAAGAAGCACACAGAACCTGGAAGCGGACTGACTCTCCTAGTGACTATGACAACTTCTCGAATCTTCGCACTCGGTGTAAGACTCTTTCAAAGGACTCCTATCTGAATTATGTGCAGCGCTCTGAAATGTCACTGCTGAATGATCACAACCTCAAACACTTCTGGAGTTTTATCAATGCCAAGCGAAAAGCGAATGGTTTGCCGTCTCACATGTTTTATAATAGCAACATTGCCAAAAATGGTTCAGAGATAGCTAATCTCTTTGCTGAATACTTCCATTCTGTTTATTCCAACAAAATCTGTGTTGCTAGTCAGGACATCTCTCGGAGCGATGCACATATTCATGAATTTAACATCTCAATATCAGTTATTTATGAAGAACTATGTAGCCTGCAGTCTTTTAAGGGTCCAGGTCCAGACGGTGTCCCACCTCTTATGATAAAGAATTGTAGCTTTGTATTATCCCGTCCACTTTTCATTCTTTTCAATAAGTCACTCAGTTTGGGTGAATTTCCTAAACTCTGGAAGCAGAGCTTCACCATACCCATTCATAAATCTGGCGATAAAATGGATATTTCAAAATACAGACCCATTATCATCCAAAACACCTTCCCAAAGGTATTTGAGAGCATAGTGACAAAGTTTTTAACTCCAAAAATCAATCCCTGTCTAATTGAGCAGCAGACCGGTTTCCGTCCAAAATGCTCAACTGAAACCAATCTCCTGTCCTACCAGGACAAAGTTTCAAGAATTCTTGAGGATGGCGAATCAGTTCACTCCATATATACCGATTTTGCAAAGGCCTTTGACCGTGTCAACCATGCCGTTCTGCTTGCTAAGCTTGAAAGTGCTGGAATCTCCGGTACTTTGTTGAAGTGGATTAGCGACTATCTTGGGGAGAGAACTCAAATAATCAAAGTTAACAACTTCTTCTCACACGAAATTGACATCCCATCGGGCGTTCCACAGGGTTCTCACTTGGGACCTCTGCTGTTCAACGTTTTTATTAACGATATCAAGTCTTGTTTTATTAACAGTGAGTTCCTGTGCTTTGCGGATGATTTAAAGGTGTTCACCCGGGTCTCTTCTATTGAAGACTGTGCCAGACTACAATCTGACCTCGACAGACTCTCTGAGTGGTGCGCTTTGAGCGGCATGGAGCTCAATGCTTCCAAATGCAAAGCCATTGTTTTCTCCAAGGGTCGTAGCCCTCCACAATTCGCGTACCATATAAACAACATTCCGCTTGAAACTGTCTCACAACAACGAGATCTTGGTGTCATTTTTGACAGCAGTCTCAATTTTATCACCCATATTTCAGACATCACAACAAGGTCGTTAAAACTTGTAGGCTTCATTAAGAGGTGTTCGAGAGATTTTACAAGCATAGATTCTATCAGATACCTTTATTGCTCAATGGTGAGGCCCCTGATGGAGTACTGCTCCTCTGTCTGGTCACCAATGTATTCTAATCATATCAGAGCCCTAGAGCTAGTGCAGCGCAAATTCGTACGTTATTTAGCCTTCAAGGCAGGTATTCCTTCGCTTGAGAACTATGTATATGACTATGACGACCTATACAGACGCTTCAATCTACAACCCTTGGCAGCTAGACGCAATCAAAGAGATTTATATACTTTTTACAAGGTACTGAACTCCATTAGTGATTCCGCATACCTACTGTCCAGAATAGGGCTTCACGTCCCAGCAAGGGACACCCGCTCTGCCATAACCTTCTCAGAAAGAAATCACCGTACAAACTATGGTTTCAATACATTCATCTCCAGAACTTCTCGATTATGTAACACCCATGGTAGCCTGGATTTTTTTGGACCCATAAATAGCTTTAAAAGACAGCTTAACTCTCTAATGTAATTCTCCTCGTTTGTTTGTGATGCCAAGTTCGATAGCTAAGAATTTCTAGTCATCTTGATCAGTCATTATTTATGTTTGTCCTCTATTTTCTTATACCTATAACTGATTTAATGTTTTACTGTTAATAATTTGTATGTATTTTTATCCTGTTACTACGCCAAGTATTACTGGCCTATGTTTATTTAGTTGTAAGGTACTTAATGTTTCTTGTTGTTTTTTTTTTTTCTTTTGAAACTTTTAATGGGTCTTGCCCGTAAATAAATAAATAAATAAATTGTTAATGACTTGAGGAATAAGGCATCATCATCTAGCAAAATTCCTACTTCACCTGAGATCCTTAACGATTACTTTGTTGATGTGGCTAAGAATTTAATGAATACCTTAACTCCTTCCCAGGACCCACTTTCATATCTCCCGAATGCTAAGGTGAACTTACACAGTTTCTTCTTCACGCCTGTAGTAGTTCCAGAGCTTCGCAGTACAATCAAAGATATTAAAAACAAATCTTCATCTGGGACTGATGGACTTACCCTCAAAATGTTCTCTAATCTTCCTGATTGCACATTAAAACATCTTACTACTCTGATCAACAAGTCGTTTCTAAATGGAGCTTTTCCAAACTGTCTTAAGATGGCGATAATTATCCCATTGCATAAGGGAGGTGATAAGGAGCTACCTTCAAACTATCGCCCCATTGCATTCCTTCCTACGCTATCAAAGATCATAGAAAAATTGGTTAAAAAGAGGCTTCTACCATTTCTCTCTAAATATAATATTCTAACTACCAGTCAATTCGGTTTCCTAAGTAACAAATGTACTAATGATGCAATGTTTTCCCTTTTCAATAATGTATACTCCAGCCTGAACTGCCACCACTCTACAGCCTCAATTTTCTGTGATTTCTCCAAAGCTTTCGACTGTGTTAATCATAATATCTTAATTAACAAATTACAGTTCTACGGTTTCAGAGGAATGACTCTCGAATGGTTTAAGTCTTATCTTGGTAACAGAAGTCAGCTTGTGAGGGTGGACTCGACCATGTCCTCTTGTAAACCAATTGAATGTGGTGTGCCTCAGGGTTCAGTTCTTGGCCCTATTTTGTTCCTGTTATTTATTAACGACATTGCTAGTCTGGATATTAGCGGCAAAGTTTGTCTCTTCGCAGACGATACTAGTTTCACTTGGAGCAACCCGGATATTACGGAACTCCATAGAACCGTCTCTAGTGACTTAATCACCATCAAATCATGGTGTGACTCAAATCTCCTGTGCCTCAACCTCTCTAAAACCAAAGTTTTATCTTACAGAGCTTCGCTCCAATCTGTAGTACTGGATAACAATACCATGGAGGCCGTTGATTCCGTGAAATTCCTGGGGCTTGTTGTTGATAAATCTCTAAAGTGGGACCTGCATATCGACGCCTTAGCAAAGAAATTAAGTTCGGCCTGGTTTGCACTGAGATCTGTTTCCAGGGAGCTTAACTCGGCAACTTGCAGGATGGTATGCTCTTTTTGAGTCGCATTTACGGTACGCCCTTCCATTCTGGGGCACGTGTTGTGCGTCTCAATTTGAACGCATTTTTAGACTGCAGAAGAGAGCTCTTCGTTATTCTTTGGGACTTGGTAGTAGAACTCACTGCCGGGAATTTTTTATCAAGTCTAGTATATTGACTCTTCCATCTTTATTTATTTTCGAATCCGTCTGCTTAATTCGTAAGCACTTAATATCAGCTATCTCAGAGAGGCCATCTCACAATTATCCACTGAGGAACGCGCTCAGAGTTAGTTAAAAGTTCAATACTTTATAATGCTAAAAAGATGCATAATCATCTACCACCTAACATCAGGTCCATTGCATCTTTTCTCGAATTTCGCAGGTCGTTGAAGGTGTATTTACTGAGGAGAGCCTTGTACACAGTAAGCGAGTTGTTTATGGTTTCCTAATTCTAAATTTTGAGCAGCTTACTCACAGGTTTTGTTTTTGTTCCTGTATCATGATAGGTTATTATAAGTTATTGTTTGTTTGTTTTTTTAGTACCTATAATATGCTTACTCGCACAGTATAAGCAGTTAGACCTAGATGTTTGTTTGTTAGTTTTAATCAAATTTTGACCATGAACTATTTGTTCAAGTGTTTGGTTTTGTCTGTGCTTTTGCATTTGTATGTTTTGTTTTTTATTTTTTCAGCTTTGTCCACAAAATTGTAAAATTTTCTGACAATAAAGCAAATTCTTTCTTTCTTTCTTTCATGTAGTATAAAATGTAAACTACTGTCTAGCCATACGCCAAGTTCCTTTATTAGGTTTCCCTTCCAAAATATACTTAGAAACTTCTGGGTTTTCCATCTTACAAAAAGTTACAATCTTGAACTCTTTTGTATTTAAGGCCAGGTTGTCCTTGCACCATTTAGAGAATTTCTTTAGCAAGAGCCAGTCCAGTCAGTATTTAACATCAAGAGCCAGATTACCCTCATTAACGAACACGAAGAAGTAAGTTGGAAGATGGCCACCCTAGGGGACTCCCGATGTGACAACTATTTAATATTTTGTTTCAGAAGAGATGAAGCATTCAAGTTTCACAGCTTGCCGCAGTTCTCTTATATAACCCTAGAAGCACTTTGAAAGGTTCCCATGGATAGCTATACCCATTCTATTTAGCTTTTTAAAAAGTAAACTAAACATCTTGTCAAAAATGTTGTATTTCAGGTAGTGTAAACTTAAAATTTGCAGAAAAAAACATATTGTTTACACAAATAATCTTAGAAGATATATAGGTTGGCCACTGAAAGAAAAGGTTTTCGGTCTACTGCGAAGGGAGCGGTAAAAACGACTTAAGCTTTAAAAAGTTATGGTCGTGAATAAAACCCATTTTTGAAAGTTCAGTAACAATTTTATTTAGAATCTGAGCTTTAGTAACAATAGGCAAGAAGGTGTCAACTTTCTTTGCTCATATCAAAAATAAATTATTAATTTATACAATTTAAATGCAAAAATAACAATACAAACAATTAAATTATATTACAAGTGTCTATTATGAGTTTTTAAAAAAACCAAGAGTGGATGTAAGATCTTTGAAGAAATCTAAATGAGAACATAATGAAGAAACTTGTTGCACGCAGCAAGTCTTTAATATGTTACCTCTGTGAAAAATAAATTTAACCAGAATATATTGCTGAATAGTTTGTACTATAGGTTAATGAAAGCCATCGGCACAATGATTTTTTTCTTCAAGCTATATAACCACATCAATTGAATTTAAAAACTCTGTTATAGAAAACTTGTAATGTAAACAAAACAAAAATATATTCTAAAAAAAAAACATAAGAACAATTAAATACTACATCTAAAATATTTGGCAAAATCATTCAGTTACACATTACCTAAACGCTACCTACAATTTGTGGTAACTAGTCAATATTTAAATGGCAATTTTTGAAGGTAATACGCAACCTACTTAACTCTAAAGACTGACCACCAAATAATAGAGGAAATCTAGAAAAATGTTAATTTTAAATTTTCATTATTTGATTTTTGTGAACGCACACAATTGTATAAATGAACTTAATCTGTGAGCAGGGGTTGGTTGACGAGTATTCATTTACCAGAAAATAATGAACAACAGAGTTCTAATCAATAGTGCAGAAATTTCATTATAATACATAATACAGTGAAGTCTGGATGAATTCGAAAAGTGCATAAACAATATTTATGCAATTATAGTGGACCAATGTCCATGTAAGGTTTACTACACTGGCCAGCAAAATTAACGCACCACTCTCGGCACCACTACTATATTTTGAAAAATATTTTTTATTTCATAATATTGATCAAATATTTTTATGTCTTAATTATGTTCTTATTCCAACCTAATAAGGGTATTAACAAAAGATAAAATTCCAAAAGAAGGTTACAAAAAAAATAACAAGAAATATTCAAAAATAATTTTTTTAAAACTTTAGTTAAAAATAATTAATTAGCGGTATTTCCTCCTCTATTTTGAATAATAGCACGGCAGCGATTATCCATGTTAAAATAACGGGCTTTATCTGGTTTCAATCCAAATTATTCCATATTTGGACAATATCTTCAAAGCCCATTCAAAGTGTTAGAAGGGTTAGGAAGTTCTTGAAAACAGTGATAGATCATGTCCTAGACATCCTCAGTCGGATTAGGATCAGAACTGTTTGCTAGCCAATCCATATTTTCAATTCCAATCTATGGAAATAAGCTAGTGGTGCGTTAATTTTGCTAGCCAGTGTATAAACGGTAAAATATTGCATCATTTATCTAATGGGAAATTTCTATGGGAATTTGGAGAAGCGTTCGTTATAACTGAGTGTTCACTTTAAACGTGTCTGCTATATCCAAACTCCACTGTACCTAATTAATTTAGACCAGAATTAAATTAAGTAAGTATGAAAAACATCATTCATAAAATAGCTTACAATGAGAAAAGTTTGGTGGTCAGTTTAAAATAACTGCTTCACTTCAGTCAAAATAAAAACTATTCAGTCAAAAATTAAACAAAATAACAAATTATAATAATACTAAATGAAATAACTGGAAATTTATGGTTCCACAAAAATGAAGCTTGACTCGCTATTTATAACCTCATCATCAGCATTTGGATCTCTCATTTTTCCGTCGCCATCAGTTTTTGCTCCTTGTGCAGCACCTATATTAGCTCCATTACCGTTGGGTTCCACAAGATGAGGCTGTTCGATGTTACCGTTATTACCAACATTATAACGTTCAGATTCTGGTAAGAGTTGCAACCATTGGGACAAAGTGCCCACAATTTCTTCAATCATCCATTTTTTTGGAGGACCAAAGCTTTCGTTTTTAACAGTTTTTTGGTAGCAAGTGTTGAAGATGGAACGTACTTTTTCCAACCTTTGTAGTCTCCTAAAAAAAATATTCTGTTTGAAAAATGAAAGGGGAAAGCTTCTAATATTTGGTGATTCCAGGCTTTATTTTCAAAAAATAAGCTAATACATAAATAGTATATTTTAGAAGAAAAAAATATTACAATTAAATTCCAATAATTTATTGATTTCTACTTTTGTTGCAAGAGTGCAGATAATGGATCAAATTTGAACAATTTCAATACCTGTGAGTATTGATGACATTTTAAATTGAACTGAAGTTTAAATCATTGTATTTATTTGATATCATTATATTGAGCATTTTAAACCAAGTTTTAATCAAAATGAAGCTGTCTGTTTCCATTTTGGTTCTTTGTCAAAATAGGTACCTATTTCAACTTTTTAACCGCTAAATTCTTTGTCAATGTATGAACGTGTTCTTTAGTAAGGCTCAACCAATTTAAGGAATAAAGATTTTGACTTGATAGTTCCAAAAGTAAATAAAAATTGTTTTTGTATGAACTGACTTCAAACGTCCCAGCCTTTGGTTGACTATGATATATTTCAGGAGGATAATTTTCAATAAAACAGGACCATATTCAATTGAAAAAAAAAAATTAGATCAAATATTCCAATCACGAGTATTAACTTACTGAGGCTTGAAATGATGATCTCTTTCCACGCTGCCGCTTTCACTGATCATTTGCCAATTTGAGCTGAGGTTGCTGCTCGAGCTTCCAGAACTTTCACTGCGTTGGCGCCTTGATCCTACCAATATTGGTGAAGTCCGTCTAAAGGCCTGATTTGGAGATTGTAGTTTGCTACTACTGCTAGAAAAAATTGGTAGAAGACCTCAGTTCATAGTTAAAACCTGTCGGTTGTCAGTTGTATGGATAATTATTAGACCACCAAGCTATCCTTTTGTAAAAGCACCTAGCCTGATTTTTGAATTGACCTCTGCCCATTGCCTTGTCTGCATCATTTAGTTGGGAGATGTTTTTTTTTTGGGAAAATGTCAACTATCGATTTGATGAAAATTGTAGCTTAATTTTATTTACTTCTGATACCGAGGGGGTAACATCTTGCCGCAATACTGTCACAAATTCTCAACAATCGCTTGCAATCACTTCAATATCCGTGACAATCTCAGTCGCAGTCCCACAATCGGGTTTGCAATCTCACAATCTCTGTAAAACAATCCTACAATCGCATTCGTTGCCCCACAATCGCTGTCGCAATCTGACAATCGCATTGGCAATCGCGTACACCATCACTTGTTTTAAGGTACAATCGCGAACCGCGCATGCGCGTTTATTTGTTTATAGTAAGAGTCAGCGCAAGCGCAGTCGGCAAAGATAGACTGACAGGCAAATTTCTTGCTATTTTATGTTATTTATTAGCGATTAAACTGTTGTTTTCTGTGAGTTTTCACTGCGGTATCCTACTGTCAAGAAAAATAGACTCTATTCGCTCCAGTGTTGGCGGCCAGCCCTGCATTACATTAACACATACCATTAAATCCTAAAACCTTCTAAAAATAAAAGTCTGGGACAAATAGTTGTTGGTGAAAAAATCAACACTGTGTTCTCTATTTTCCAATAAAAACGCAAGTAAAAACGGAAAGTTATCAACCAGATGCAAAAGTATGCAAAATTGTCAAAAAAAAATAAATAAAGTAATAGAACAGCGTCAAGTAGGAATAGAGCCGAGAATAGAGCCTATTAAAAGAGCAAAAATAATAAACTGCAGTCAACAAGGGCTCCAAGCATAGAAGATGCCGCAACCTCTGAAGGTCGAAGCTGTATTCCGAAAAATGAAGAATACTATGCTGCTGCATATGATACATGGTATATTGACCGGATCATAGAGACGTTAGATGTTGAAGTGAAGTATAAAATGAAGTTCCTCAGAAGAGGTCTTGATGATTACATTTGACAAGATAAAGATATACAAATAGTAGCAAAAAATATACAGGGTGTCCCACCGGAAACCAAATCGATCCATATATGAAAAACTGTATGCAGAAAATTTTTGAAAATTTGTCAGTATAGGTGCTAATTTCAGTAGGGGCAACCCGACTAAAATATTTTCAAAATGGTGGCACTTCCGGTTATACCGCAAGTAGACAACTTGCTTATTTTAAATGAGACACCCTGTATGTGATTGCATATTTGGATTCTACATAAAATTCTGAGCAGATTTCATGTCATATACCCTATACCCAAGTTCAACTGTTTTGGAAATAATAGAGAGTTATTGGACGTGCAATAAGGACAAGCAGTATTTAAAATAGCCTTATTTTGACATCTGCGCATGCGCATTTGAGTCTGAAAATAAAGATCTCCTTAATAAGGTTACTGCTTGTCTTTATTTGTAGGTATATGATTAGTGCGAGGCAGTATACTTCCCTTATTTTAACATTTCTGACAATTTGACGATTATGACGTTTCGCTTTTGTCGAGCTGTTAAAATTATGAATACAAAATAAGGTAATACTCAACCTCGTACTCAAAACATACTACAGTCTTCCAATAACTGTTATTTTCTGGGAGAAATAGTGCTGATGCACTGATAAAATAACGTAAATCCCTAATACTGCCAGGCAGTATTTAATAGTTCCAATAACTCTCTATTGACAATTGAAAATTGACTTTTTGCAACTTTGACAGCCTGTAAAACCTAAACGGTTAATTTTAGAGGAAAACCGATTTCACATTCCTGTCTTAGATTTTTATAAACTATCACCAAACACCATTTAATTTAATCCATGATTAAAAATTACAATTAAATTTAATCTCCGGTTAAATTCAAAGTTGATGTCAAATGATAGTTTATGGAAATATAAGAATGTGAAATCGGTTTTCCTCTAAAATCAACCTTTTAGGTTTTACATCCAGTCAAAGTTACAGAAAGTCAATTTTCAACTGTCAATATTTCCAAAACAGCTGAACTTAAGTATAGGGTATATTGCACGAATTTGCTCAGAATTTTACGTAGAATCCAAATATGCAATCACATAGGGTATCTCATTTGAAATAAGCAAGTTGACGTCTTCTTTCGGTATAACCGGAAGTGCCACCATTTTGAAAATATTTTAGCCGGGTTGCCCCTACTGACATTAGCACCTATACTGTCAAATTTTCAAAAATTTTTTGCATACAGTTTTCCATATAGGTATAGATCGATTCGGTTCCCGGTGGAACACCCTGTAAATATGGTCCTTTTCATCTCAGAAAGCAAGAAAAGGTGGATATTGCGAATAGGCTCAAGATATTGAAAAAATATATATATATCCATTCAACTTTGTTATAAGTATAGAGTCTGTTCCTCATAATTAGTGCGGCTTCTACAACTTAAACAAAAAAAAAAAGTTAAATACAAAAGTTGTGAGGTATTATCTCTATTATATTTTTGGCTAGCATGATTGATCTTTTCCTTCTGAGTCCAAATACACCATACCAAAATTGCATTAAGTAAGCCTCACCATTGATTTAAGGAACCGGGAACCAACCTGATTTAGGATAATGAAAATGCATTTTAAAACTTAGATATCGTAAAAACTGATGAACCAAATATCAACATTTGTATATGGTATATTTGGAATCAGAAGAAATATATCATTTTATTCAAAAATATACAGGGTGTTCCATTTGAAAAAATGCAAGTGTTTGTCATTATGTTTGTTGACACCTGCCATTTACCCGTTTTGACATGTGCATGTGCAAAAGATGATAGAGATAAAACCCTACAACTTTTGTATTTAACTTTTTTTATTATTTTTTTTTTTTTGTTCAAGTTGTAGAAGCGACACTATAAACACTATTCATGAGCAAGAAAGGAACAGACCCTGTACATACCCATGTACAACTTTGAAATCCTTGAAAGAATAGCAAAATATATTTGTTCCTATTTTTACTCGTATTTTTATTTGTGGGTTAATAAATAAAAATCTATAATCTAATGGCCAAAATAAATAAATATGTTCCTTAAGATAATGATATGTCAGTGTAACTCAGTAACTCAAGCAGCTACCAAAAATCTTTCTGAGTCACTCGCAATCGCCTACAATTGTCTGCAATCATTCACAATCGTCTGCAATCATTCACAATCGTCTGCAATCATTCACAATCATATGCAGTCACAATGCAATCCTCCAAAATCTAACAATCGCCTCACAATCCCGGATTGCAGTCGCAATCGCAGCAATCTTAGGAAAATCGTAGGGATTGTCGCAATACTGTCACAAAATTCAAGAAGATGTTACCCCCTCGTCTGATACGTTAACACAGGATAGCAATAACAAATTTGCTAAAATTAGGAAGCAAATACATTTTTCTTGTAAATAGATTTATTACACAACATAAATCAGTACAAGTTACTGGCGCTAAGGCCTTAAATTTTTTCGAGATCCAGACTTATCCAGATTCAAAATAAAATGCTAGTGCCAGGTTGAAATATGGCATTGTACCTGCAAGTTAATGATGTTTTGAAAGAGAGAATTCCCAGCGGTAAGGGACTTTTCACCATTATAACTTTTTTGACCATCTACATGATGCAAGATATTTATTCTTGCTAATTTTGACCCATAAAATACAAATAACAAAGATGCAATACCCATTGGGAACTTCGACTTATTGTCAGAATAGAGGTCAAAGCAAAAGCACACAGTTTCCAAGCTGTAATACTTATATTGGATTATTACCTATTATCGCCTGTATCCATGCAATCCAATGCATCTTCAAAAGGAACACTAATAAACAATAAAATTAATTCTATTCTACAAAAAATTTACACACTAGAACATACCAGATGCTATCTTCAGAAACAGTATCCATAGGAACTGTAGTGGAAGAGTCATTGGAGTTTTCAGAAACCTCAACTAGAGGGAAGTCGGGAAAATGTTGTTTTTTCTTGTTTTTGCTATAAGTAAAGGATGTATTTATAACTTGATAGGCATTTGTGAAATTAAAATTATTTATCTATTTACTTAGGATTATCATCAGAACTTCCACTGGACTGCGATCTGGTTGGACTGTTTGAGTCATCAGTCTTGAACGATGATGACTCATCACTATACTTCTTTTTCGTAGTTCTAAGTAATAAAAATAGAATTAGTAAAAAATTATATACATAATTGAATGTTTACTTAGCTGAAAATTCTTCTCCGACCATATAGCGGAGAAAGTCAAAGCAAAAAGCTAAAATCTCTTCATGTTTGAAAAGTCTGTTAGAAAGATGATGACCAAAGAGGTACCAATCATAACTTAAAGTCAAATATAAAATCTCATACTCATTGAGACTTGGATGGATCAAATAATCAGCCCATAGACTTAAACGTAATAATGAGATGAAAAGAGGTGTTCTATCCCACCCGCTAATGCAATGTAACAATATCCCATAATTGTCTTCCTGAAAAATTTCAAATTCACAATAAAACATTCAAAATAACCCAGGTTATACTACCTGCAAGCGTCTCAAAATATATTTGATATAGTTTTGGGTCAGTAGTACAAGGTCCCATTCTTTGTATTTTTGCCAGGCTACCTGGAACTTCTCGGTAACATTGTCATTAGGAACTGACAGTGGTGCATCATTTGCCGGATGATCCCATTTAAATTTCAAGCCTTCAGCATTGTACATAGCATCATAATAATCTTTAAAAAATTCACAGCCAGGATAGGGTAGACCTATTAGTTTGAAACTTGAATAGCGGGGTTCAACTTTTTCAGAGGTACAAACACTTAAAAAAAAAATGGAATTTGTTTTTACTCAACTAGACAAAACTGAACTTTGTACTCACTAAACGGTATGCTTAACTTTTCTCTTCTCGACCATTATGTCCACAACAGTACCTACATTAAAAATTTTCATCAGCTGTACATCTAAATTACGAACATTTTCACAGATGGTTCGAGTCCTGACATCATTGTCATAGGGTGCAGGTCCTTCAGGTTCCTCCTCATGAACTTCGGGAAGAGGCCCCAATCCTTCGCATGGCCACCAAAATTCCTTCACCGATTTTAATAGCTCATAGCCAGGTACATTTATTAGACCGGAACGGTAGCAAATTTCTGGTGCACAAGCCAAAGTTGAGGAGCGACATATAAATTTTCCATTAAATAAAATCACAGGAGCAGGAAACCTTTGTCTGGATCGGCCCAAATTTGCAGCTCCAATTAAATCTTCAACTTTCTTTATGTCCAATGTGGCGGTTTCAACTTCCTCTTCGTTTTCATATATAGTAGTTACGGAACGGACAGATTCCATAACTGGAATAGTTGATGGATACTGCGGACAAAGATGGCCATTTCCGTTATCAATTTTTGCCAGAATATAGTCTTTTTCCAGTAGCTTTATCACATCATTCATGTATTGACGGGGCTAAAATTTGAATAGCATGCATTAAAATTAAATTTTATAGTCCCTTGAAAATAGAATAGGAAAAAATAATGATTTAAAATGTAACTCTAGTTGATCCATTAGCCAAGGTGGCACAAAAGTGAAAAATCAACTCTTGGATTTTTTTCTGTGTGGTAACATATGACTACCGTCCTAGAAAATGAGAACTGTTAAAGGATTATTAAAAGAGTATCTTACACCTTTCAAACTCAGTCTGTACAAAGTGAAAACTTAAAAGTCGGTTCAAAATTTCAAGACTATAAACCAATAAATAACCGAGTAGACTACTACATACAATTAGGAACTAGAAAAAAAGGTACATAAAATGGAAAATCGAGTAAATAGAAGTGGATGAAAGATGAAAGAGATAAAATATAAAAAGAAAAAGTAGAAATCAAGGTTAAGCAGCTTAGAAGTAAATAAATGGATGTGAATTAGTGGGGGAGAACAAAAATATACAGGGTGATTTACATAGTCAAAGCGTTAGCTTGCACGTGTATTGGATGCAATCGGTTCTTCAAAAAAAAAAAACAATCAAAGATTGCTATGGTTTTTTGGCCGTATGTATTAGAATGTCATGTCAAAAATCCTGACCAATAAAAAAACAATATTTCGACGTACGTTTTCGTAATCAAAGCAATATCTGATTGTTTTTTTTTTAAAGAAGACTCGTTATCTCTAACACTTGCCAACTGGATAACTTCTAATGCACGGGCTCCAAAGTCATATAATTAATTTGAACAGAAGGCTTGCATCTGGTTGCTACTGTGTACGAGCAGTGGCAGCCAACTTTTGTTCAGATCTGATTTTAAACTACAAAAACGTGCAATAGGTATGTTATATTGGGGGGGGGGGGCTTCTCCAAGAGATCACTGTAGGCCACTTTCCATCAAATATTGTCCTGCCTTTTTATATTGGAGACCGCTAGTTTAATAAACAAAAACACTGCTATGTTCCTGGTTCATCAGAGTTAATTTGACTCGCTAAAAGCATGACATTCCTCTCTTAATCCCCCATTCTCTAGAGTGCAAAATTAAATTATTTATGATAGCATAAAGATCTATAATCAGCTCTCTTTAAATTTCAAAACCATAACACTATCTCAACGTTTCGCAAAAACTTAAAAGAGAGACTGATTAAGTCGGCTTTCTATTCGCTCGATAAGTATTTCAATTTTTCTTTTAAACAATAAGTTATTGTCTCCTATCGCTCAATATAGCTACATACATTTAATCTCATTCTTTTGTGGATTTTTTTTTGGGAATTCAAAAATTTGGCAATTCAACAACAACATATATGTCTTTGCGTAGCATGTATGCATTTTTGCATTGTTTTAAATTTTATTTTATTCTCCCGTTTAAACGAAGCATTTACATATTCATTCAATGAAACAAACTACCTACATCAAACATGAACTCTAAATCGGCTAAAATGAACTATGGATCAACAATAAATTATTCCAATAAAGGTTTGATGTTTTGAAAAATATGTAGTAAGAAGTAAAAAAGTTATGAAGAAATTTAAAAACTAAGTATCTCAACTTTTTAAAAAATAAATCAAAATCTACCTGAAACGTTCCCCATTTATACATTTCCGCATCTCCTATACATATAGCAACCAGGATCCCCCTACATGCATCACTTTTGGAACAAAAAATGTAAAGTTGATTTTTTTTTCAAGATTCCAAAATCAGATTTAAAGGGTTGGATTCCAGATATTTTATATAAAATATTGAAGAAAATAATTCGAGGAAAACGACCCCTAATGATTACGTTTTTCAGAAGCCAATGAATATGGTGGTAAGGATTTGCGGTTGAAAATTGTGCCAAGTGGGATTTAGGAGTCAAGTAGAAAGCCGGAAAATCTAGTGTAAATAACAATTTATGGTGATTTTCCACATACCTACAAAAAACTTGACTCAAAAAAGGTAAAAGAAACCAAACAATTTCAAAGGTGCCCAAAATACTGAGCTATGCAGTGCTATTAGCTAAATTATGTTGAAACACTTAGAATTCCCTTTTTCTTGTCAATTTACTAGAAATTTTGAAAATAAGTGGATAATTTTACCTTGTCTTCCTTTTCAGCAGCAAAATAGGTATTTTGTGAAAAATAAGAAAGCAAATCATTTATTTTCTTGGCGTCACTAATATTTATTTCTGAATCCAAATCAATAATCACTTCCCATTCATCAGTAATATTTATTTCTGAATCCATATCATTATCTTGTTCTTCCATGTTTATGTCTTGTTAGTTGTTTTCTTACAAGAGGAACACAAATTTAAATAAAATGGAAGGTGGTTGCTATATAATCAGAATGCCGACTTGGAATCGTAGAGTAAAGGCGCGCTACTTTCGACTCAGAAGAGTGACAACAACCGACTAACCGGAATAAGAGGGTTCGGAATTGTTCGCAGCGAAAGCATGTGGTGATTAATAATAAGCGCTTGCTTCGAGCCAATAAAAGCTCTTTTCGTTATAGACTGTTACACGATACGGCAGTTCTATAATAGCCTTAACGTAACCATAATACGTGACATAGGCTGTATTCATGCACGCATAATTTTTCTGACAAATGAGTCACTGGAACCCTAATGGAAGAAATAACCAAGTAATGGTACGAGTCACAACTACCAAAAAAAATATTTGCGGAATTTTTATTTGAACAACCAGTTGGTTTAACTTCATAATATTAACGAGGGACGGCTCACTTACCACAATTTGTACATCGATTTCGGAAATTGCAGGAGATTTCGATAATTTTTAAGGGATTACAGGATTTCGGGATTTCGTGTGTGATTTCGAATAATTTTTAGTACCTAGGTATCTATTTATTTATTTATTCACGAACAAAAACCCAATTACATTAAAAATACATATAAAACGTTTCCGCTTAATAATTCTGACAATAATCAAATTAACATCACTATGTATAATGTGAAAATATCACGAAAGTGAAGCATCACAAGAACTAACCTCTGAGCTGCCGGTGAAAATTGGTATGCGGTCAAAAGTTGTTACATGCATAGTTAGTTCTGTGGGTTGAAACAAAGAACTTGGAAGTGTATCGCATGACACTAGAAGGGACATGAATTTTTACTTTTCGTATATATCCGGAATGGATACTCCAACGGTTATTATATGATAAAAAACTGACACATCTCTGATTTGTGTCGATTCGAGATGGAGGATAGTTCGAATGTAGGCTCAACTTATTCATTCTCATCATCCTGGAATATAGTGTCCATTTTAAATCCAGCGTACTTCAGAAACTTATGCTGTATTCGTTCTAGAGTAGAGTAAACAGACGACCATACACAGGAGGAATATATGAAATGAAGTAAAGTAAAACAAGTACGTAATAGAGGCGTTTGAGTATATTTTTCAGTTTTTTTTTTTTTTTTAAGTTTAGGAAATAGTTATATAAATTTCTCTGGAAGAAGCACGTAATTTTTTTATCAATCTCATTAACTATAAGTAGTTAAAAGCTTTATGGCTTTGCTTTCAAGAATTGTGTAAACATATCAATAATGTACCTATAGCATTTGATAAACAAATATTATGGCTTCTCAGTAGAATCGTGACTAAAAAGAAAACATTTCTCGATAAGATGGCTCGTTTCAATTGTTGAGTTTTTTACTTTTGTCTTCGCTAATATTTATCTCTAAAGGGTGGTATTCTTGAAATTATCTATAAAAAAAATAAATCTACATGTTGACAATTTATCAATTTGTTACTGAATTAAGATATTGTATTGATATTTGAATGATAAATCCCTAATAATCATTATATGATATTCCGAGCGATAATCTTCTGGGATTGTAACAGCCTAATTGAAAGAGTATTTGTAGTTCAGAAGCGTGAACGTGGAATGATGGAAAAAATTAGTTTCTGCTATAGTTTCAATGGAATACGGAATCCTAACTTGTATGAAGTTTATTTTTGTCAATGCCTTTCTAATTCTTTTTAAAAAATATGGAAACATTTGAACTGCAACCACCTCGTTCTTACAATACAGCCATCATTAATGTAAATTATCCAATACAAAGGCTTACATTGTCTGAGAATTCATCACATACAGTGTGTCCTGCTTAAGGACTGACCACCCTTCTAAAAATTTTATTTAAATTTTTTTTTATTCTTATATTTATTTGAATTTGGCACTTATTAGGCTTATAATTACGCCTCTTAAGCTGGAAGAGCAAAGTCAGCAGAATCGAAAATCAAAATCAATACATGGAACATTAAAGGCTCATTAAAGGCTAATTAAATGCCCCGATGAGAAATTTAAGGCTCCTTAATTTTTCGCGAAAATGACTGTTCTGCTAGCTTTAACTTAAGCTAGCATAACATGAGCGAAAAAGTGGCTAAAGTAACGAAAATTGCAATTCCAATTGCACAGACAATAAAGGCTCATTGAAGGCTCTGAAAATACACCAATCATGAATTTCAGGCTCAATTACTTTTTTGTGAAAATGCAAGAAGCGCGATGCGTGAGTGATGTCGCCCAAGCGTGGCAGAAAAATCTCTCAGACGGTGAAAATCAGTGTTCCGATAGTGCAGTCGTAGTGAATACATTAAAGGCTAATTAAATGCTGTAATGAGAAATTTTAGGCTCCGCCAATTTTCGCGAAAATTGCTATTCTGCTAGCTTTAACCTAAGCCAGCAGAACATGGGCAAAAAGTGTCTAAAACAAAGAAAATTCCAATTCCACATGCACCGACATTAAAGGCTCTGGAAATACACCAATCGCGAATTTCAGGCTCAATTACTTTTTTGTGAAAATGCGAAAAGTGGCGATATGTGAGTAATGTCGGCAGAGCATGGCGGAAAAACCTGTCAGACAGTGAAAATCAGTGTTCCAATAGTGTAGTCGTTGTGAATACATTAAAGGCTAATTAAATGCTGTAATGAGAAATTTCAGGCTCTGCTGGTTTCCGCGAAAATGGCTATTTTGCTAGCTTTAACCTAAGCCAGCAGAACTTGAGCAAAAAAGTGGCTAAACGACAGAAATTGCAATTCCACTTCCACAGACATTCAAGGCTCCGGAAATACACCAATCGCTAATTTCAGACATTTCTAAAATTACCAATAATAACATGGTTGGTTAGTTTGGCTACTTTGCAATTTTATCAGACTTTTCCAAACTCAATAAATCAAAAAAGTAATTGAGCCTGAAATTTGCGATTGGTGCATTTCTGGAGCCTTTAATGAGCCCTCAATGTCTGTGCAAGTGGAATTGCGAGTTTCGTTGTTTTGACCACTTTTTCGCTCATGTTCTGCTGGCTTAGGTTAAAGCCAGCAGATTAGCCATGAAATTGGCGGAGCCTCAAATTTCCCATAACAGCATTTAATTAGCCTTTACGGCTGTACTGGTGTACAGGGTGTCCACATTTATAGGCTCAAATTTCAATAAGTTATTGAAATTTGAGACTATAATTAGGGATTTTTTAGAAAAAATCTGATAGCAAATTCTTGTTTAGAATGGTCTAAAACCCAAATGTGATAAGAAAAAAATTTCTTTGTTCTCTTCTTTACTCTCTAATATCTCTTAGATTGTCTCCTCCAACCTCCAACAGATTATTTCTTCTTTGTCAATCACAATCGATTTTCTGTTCTGCTTCTCCAAACAAAAGTTTAACTCCTGTAATATTTTCCACTTGTTTTTGTCCCGTTTCTGGTATATTCTTGTCTGTCCATATTACAGCTAATATTTTATCTATCGTTGGGGATCTCCTTAATTAAATAAAACCTCGAATAAGACGAATGTACTTTCCTTCGCATCATACTTCTTGCTAATTCATCGAGTAGCTCATAGAATAGATAGGAAAATCCGAGGTAAAATCTTTATTATGCAACATAACTTACATCACATAAAAGGCAGCATTCGCAGAGCGTTCGTTCTTCCATGCCACCCGTACAACTTAAAATTAGGAAGTGGGTACAAATTTTATAATTCTAATAAATAAATGAATAAATAAATAATTTCCCTAATTTTATTTTTAGCCTTAATTCTTGAACGTTGGACAAGATAGGACTTATATTTTCGTTTAAAAGCAGCTAGCGAATTATTAACTATAATTAGGGATGTAAGCCATTTTTTCTGTCAATGTCATTTCACAGTCAAAATGAAAATGAGGGTCACGTCATTTATTTTTGTGACACTCTTGTCATTTATTTTTTTATGGAGATGGAAGCTGCACTTTCTAACTCATGACTTTGAAGCTGATGACTGTAGCTCTGTTCCAACCGACATGAGAACCGTTTTAGAACGGTCATTTCCAGTCGATCAATTGATTTGTTAATTCGGATAAACGTTCAAATCATTGAAAAATAGGTGACCAACTGAAAATTACCTTCCTAGAACGGTTGTCATGTCAGTTAGAACAAAGCTAGTGAAACTAAAGAAGAACTTTAGTCAACCAATCAGATATCTGATTATTAATTTAAGACAATTTAAGTTATAATAGGTCTGTTTCTGCAGAAATCACAAACCAGTCATTCGTTGAAACTAGTTTTCTGACCCAATGAAATTCGCTCTGACTGGTTTGTGATTTCTGCAGAAACAGACCTATTATGTTCTACATTGGAGGTAAATGACCATAAACGACAATAAATGACAAAAATGACAAAAAAATGACTGTCATCTAACACAAAAAATAAATGACCGTCATTTTACATCCCTAACTATAATGTTATACATAAAATTTCCGAATTAAGCAATTCAGCCACTTGAAACGCAAATGAGTTTCTAAACTTGACAGTATTATGCTGCGGTATATTATATCTGGTAACAAATCTCAAATTCCGGTCATGCAAGTCCTGTCTCGCCACCATGTATTGCCAAATGCTCATTGGGAAGTTAGATTTGAAAACTCTATAAACTAGTGTGCCAAAAACAAGAGCCACTCGTTCTTCATATCTAAGTAAGTCATTTTCTCGATAAACAGGTGAGACATGATCAAATTTATACACACAGAAAATATACCGAATGCATGCATTTTGCGGTAATTGGATCTTTTTCTTAAATTCCACCATCAAGAATTTATAATACACTACACAACAATAGTCCAAGTCTGGATAAACGAGTGATTCAACTAGCAATAGTTTAATCGTAGGTGTTAAAATATACTTAAAGGCATACAAACTTTTGAATTTCATACAAAGTAACAATAATTTTTTATTTAAATGGTGTTGAAAGTCGACGTGGTGGTCAAAAACAACTCCTAGGTTTCTGGCTGACTCGACACAGGGCAACACCGATACGTCAACATGCAGGCAGTTGAAATTAAAATAGTCAAAACGACTTTCACTTAAAGGTGAACCAATGATCATATAGTTACTCTTCTTAGAATTTAGTGTCAATCCATGATTTTTTGAACAAGCATGTATAGCACTTAGATCGCAGTTGACCCTTTCCAAACTTGGACAAGCCGCCCAGGGTATAAAGCCATATAGAAGCTGGGTGTCGTCAGAGTAGAGATGAATGGAGCAATGCTGAACTTGTTTAGGAAGATCGCTGGTATATAATGTAAAAAGTAACAGGTCAAGAATGCTCCCTCCCCTGGGGTACTCCATGCCTCATTATTGCTGATTCTGATCTTGCCCCATCCAGCTCCACAATTCTGGTTCTTTGATTAAGATATTGTTGAAACCAGACAAACATATGCCCCGAAAAGCAGTAGTAGTGCATTTTAGCAATCAGCATTGTGTGATTTATCAGGTCGAATGCCTTACTATAATCCAAAAGTACCAGGCACAACACCAATGATGAGTACATGTTGGTCGCAATGTCTGTGGTTACCTTTGTGAGTGCTGTAGCTGTACTATGGCCTCTGCGAAATTCAGCTCGTGCCTCCGGAATTATATTCACGTGATCTGCAAGCTCTAATACAACATCCAGAACCAATAGTTTCAACATTTTAGCCAAGATAGGAATTTGACAAATTGGCCTTAAATCCGCTAGTGTTTTCATCCTGGGTTTTTTTGGAAGAAGATTAACAATAGACCATTACCCCAAGAAGTCTATAGATTGTTGATTCAGTGATTCCTGTCATATTGGCACATGTGGAGAATATATGTCGGATAGTACTAAAAGGCATTTGATGCACAAGTGCATCAGGTAAACTCAATACGATAGTCCTAGCTTTGGAATCAAGAACTCTGTTCCATTTTACCGGATTAAAGCCTGACATTTTTACAATAAATTCACAATGAAAACACACACTATATACAGAATGTACCATTTAAAACGAAACAGGCTAAATATCTGATGCCACATTTATTTTTTTTTTAATTGCTCGTACACATAATTTGATTTTCAAAAGGGGAAGTTTCCTGACACGATTTTTAGCTCATGAACTTTAACCCTCTAGGCGGGGTGGGACCAACCCTTACTATTTCAAATGGAACAAGGGGTCGAGTGATACATCTTTTAAAAAAGTGTTTAAGTCTCTTTCATTTGATGTCATTATAAAGAAAATTGAAGGCTCTTTAAAAACAGGTATCACTCACCCCCTGTTTCATTTGGAATGGTAAGGGTCGGTCTCACACTCCCTAGAGGGTTAGCGATTTAAAAAAAAATAAAAGTGACATCAGATATTTAGCCTGTTTCGTTTTAAATGGTATACCCTGTATAACTACACCACTTACAAGTGCAAAATTCATACTGAATTGAGTATAAGCACTTATGTATGTTTAAAACTAAAAAACAATCTACCAGCAAACCTAAAAAAGTTGAAATGTAGTATACCTACTTAAATTTAGAAAAGTTTCAGTTGCCTTGTTCCAACCGATATGAGAACCGTTCTAGAACGGTAATTTCCAGTCGATCAATTCATTTTTCAGGTAGGATAAACGTTCAACTTATTGAAAAATAGGTGGGCAACTGGAAATTACTGGCTCTGGAACGGTTCTCATGTAGGTTGGAACAGAGCTACTATTTCATTTGATTTTTTTTACATTATGTAGTGGATTTTCCAGGATTTGAAATAATAAAGATTATTATTATTATTATTATTGTTATTATAAACATAGGCCAGAACATCGATTAAGTTTTAAACAGTTTCTTGGTGGTGCCAGTGGCTGACCAAGAACATTAGCTGCCGAAATTGTCACAAGTATGTAAGGCAAAATTCAAAAGCTGCTTCTCACGGAGTTATCAATTTGCTTATAGTCACCATGGAGCTGGCTGACAATACCATAGGAAATAAGTAAGACAAACAAGAATATAATTATTAGCATTCCAGATATTATTCATTTTTATTTTATACAGCGATTATTTGAGTGTTGAACCAGTCGGGGTCAAATGTGCAAAGTGAGAAGTTTCATTTATTAGAGTAAAGTCGAGGGGCGGCTCACTCACCACAAGAATTTCACAGGATTTCGGATGAAAATGTACAGTGATTTCGGGAGTGAGCCGCCCCGCGAGTAAAGTGAAGACTAGAGTACTAAACATGTAACTTACCTCACAAATTGGACTGACTGCTGAATATGTATTATGAGAAAAATGGCGCAGGAGATCACAAATTTCTTTTTCGCTGTATTCAGTTGAGGAACTATTCGGTGCTTGGGTTTCATCCATGGTGTTGCAATTCAGAGGTGCACCGGCAATCTAGAATACCTACTTTCATTAGTAATTCTCAAAGCACACTAATACCGGCGAGGGTGCCGGTTTCGCTTTTCTTCTATTCTTTGCAGAGGCAAGTTGATTTCCCACTACACTGAAATCTTCACTGGAAGCTGGACGCCGGGTACCCGGATTTTTTCTTTCCATTCATCCCTAGTCCTTACTGCGTGTGAAAACTTCAGAAGTGGGAAATAATTCTACAATTTTAAAACTCAAGTCACCAATTAAAAAACACGCTACACTATTGGCAATATCCAAGCGAATTAAATGGAAAACGACCAACGACCATACCACCGGACCCACTCAGGTTATCTGTTCTGTTGACAAATAAATAAATAATTGCTTAACCCTGAATTGTCATTTGTCAACCCACAAAATGACAAATGACGTTCGGTCCGTTATTCGAGCCAGAGGTGCGTTCATGAACGCTGGTCGCTCTGATTCAACTCTGGGTCAGTTACTCGGGTTCACAGTAAAGCGCAGTTCATTTTTCGAATTCGAATAGCGAATAATTTCATTGGTTGAAAACTGTCAGAAAACTAGTTTCAACCAATTAAATTTCTGCAGAAACAGACCTCATAACGTTTATTTGCAATATGAATAATTTTTTTTTTTACAAATATACATGAAGGCCCAGATTTTTAGCACATTCCGGATTCAGGGATTTGGCTACCGTTTATAGTCAAGTTAATACTTTTTTTCAATTTCTGGCTTTTTTTTCCAAAGAAGAGAGAAAATAAATGAGGATTACCTAGTTCAATGGACTGCTCGCTTCCAGGAGCTTCCATGTTAACTGACGGCTTTCACGAGCTTCCATGTTCGGAGCAGTGAAATGAGTTCCGAGTAACCTAATATTAGGCTATGTTCTTCGAATTTATTGAGTAATTTGAGGATTACCCAATAACATTTGCATTACCCCAAGAATCGTAAACTCTACAGGATTGCTCAATCGGCTAAATTTGTTCACAAGTGCTGTGACGTCACCTGCATTCCTGACTTTCAAGATGGCCGCCGATACGGATGATAGTTCATTTTGTGCTGACAATTATTTTATCGTTAATTCGAAGTTTATCAAGTGTTATAAGTGTAATTTAAAGTTTGATTTAATGTGTGTAAGCATAAAAGACTCATATAGCTAAAAATAATCGCGGAAACTCCAAACATTTTCTGGTTTTGTAATGCTGTTGCGTCAGGACATATCTTTCTTTTATTCGTGTGTATTGCTTAGTTTTCTACTGTTATTTCCTAGTCAAGAATTTGTATTGTTTTTTTTTGTAAATCAAATAACTACTTAGTTGTAAGTTTCCTTCGCATTTAATTACTAGAAATTAGTGTTTGCGAAGAGTAAATAAATAAATAAATATGTAAATAAATTCCTTTACTGGCGCGTTTACTATGTAAATGCATGGAAAATATGGGTAACTTGCAGTTTTTTTTCTGGATTATGATTATGAAAATCTAAATAAGGTATCACTATTTGGCTTTGTGAGATATAATACACAGTAAAAAACAAACCACTATTGCAACCACGTGACGTTACGCCCATATTTTGATATTTAGAAGTGCCAAAATTAAATCATTACACAAAAGCATAGGTATACAACCTTGTGTTTTTTGACAGAGAAACATATTAATTATGACGTACTAGCTGTGCTAGTGCTAGCTGTTGCACTAAAAAAGGGTAAAAGATATGTATGCACATTTTAATATGATATTTATGTAGGTATTTTGAAATTACCTTGCTGATAAGCAGCAAGCCAACAAATTCGTCCTTGTGCAAGCTTGAAAACACGGTTGATGACAATAATTATTAATAATTAGTCAACCACTCAAGCACGAAAACTTTTGAAGTCTCTGCTAAATTTAAAAAACACTGTTTTCAAAGGAAATAACAATTTTTCACGTTTGAAAATGCAAGGAAAAGGCACTGTCATTATAAAAAACAATCCGATCAAGGACTGCGTGACGTCACTCGCATTCCGCCTACATGTTCGATATTTTAGTGAACGTATGTCTTACTACGGAATTGAGCAATCCGGTAGAGTTTACGATTCTTGGCATTACCCAACATATTCTTTGGGAAAATTATGTCGCGAAAAATTGCCTGAATTTTTGCGTGAAATACGCATGTTGTTTATTCACCGTTCTGTTGGTAACGTTGTCTGAATGTTGGTCAGCAGAAAATTTCTGTTGGCTCGTTGTTGTGGCGGTGAGTTGATGGATAAAACAACGGGTAGAAAATTTTTAATAAACGTTCAGAGACGAACGTGGTAAATTCAAAGTTTTCATAGGTCAATGCGACCTCCACTTGGTTATCCTCCATGGTAGGTATAATCAAATGTTGTTTATTCACCGTTCTGTTGGTAACGTTGTCTGAATGTTGGTCAGCAGAAAATTTCTGTTGGCTCGTTGTTGTGCCGGTGAGTTGATGGATAAAACAACGGGTAGAAAATTTTTAATAAACGTTCAGAGACGAACGTGGTAAATTCAAAGTTTTCATAGGTCAATGCGACCTCCACTTGGTTATCCTCCATGGTAGGTATAATCAAAAACTTTTTATTCTTTTCAACTTTAATCTAACCTCTACTTGGAATTTGGATACCATAAAACCAGATTATTGATAAAACCCTGTAAATATTCAATTTTTATTTTGTTCCATTCATTCAAAATACTAAAACAAAAACGTCTTTCCAAATTAGATAGATAATAGGCAATTTTTCGCGACATAATTTTGTTTTCATCATGCTCGGGGGTGACTTGCTATTGAGAAACCCGCTCGTAGTGTTTTAAACTCGGAGTTGGAGGTCTGCGGCTGACATGGCAGACACTTATTCAGCTCAATAAAGCAGTTCTATAAGGTTTAAGTGTTCTTGACCCAGAGTATCCTCGAGTATCCCGAATATCCTAGAATTTGATGGTGGGGGAGTTAGGGGAGTATGACAGAATTGACACATCACATAACCCAGCTTAAGCAGTCATGGCTGGGACTCTGTAACCAATAGATACATTTTCTCTATCTCTATTGACATCTCCTCTCTAGTGATTTCGACAAGACAGAAGAAGACAGCGAAGTGCCATAGCGATAGGGATAAAGATCTCTATCCGTTACAGAGTTTCAGCCCATGAGGCAATTTTTCGCGAGCATAATCAAGCATAATCTGATTATGCCTGTGTTATGTGATGTGTCAATTGTGTCATACTCCCCTAACTCACTTCCTATCAAATTTCGGGCCTGCGAGTGACGTCACTATCAGCAGCTTATAGTGATGGCGTCACCCGCAGACTTCGATGAAATGCTCGCGATTCTGGATGTGCTAGTGAGTTAATTTTTTCGTCGATTTTTAATGAAGAAAAGGTGATTTTCGGTCTGTTCTCACAGGAGAAATTAATGGCCGTTTCCACCAACTATTTTAGGGGAGCCCTAACGATAAGTATTCCCTAAAATGACTTTTTTACATGGAGAAATGTCCATCCATCACATAATCCAGCATAATCAATAATCGATTATTATCCTTGCGAAAAATTGCCTATAATTTAGATTATGCTTGATTATCCTCGCGAAAAATTGCCTAACATAAAAAAACAAGTGTTTTCAAAAACTGACAACCTCAGTTTTTCGAATCTTCTCAACACTGCTAAAAACCATCTCCTTAAGGGCTCCATACACTACGATAAAACACGACGGTTTTCATCGCCACGATGAAACACGTCGTTCTAAAACCGAAGTGTGTAATAGAAAAACACGACGGTTTTCTACAGGGCCCCACAGACTACGATGAAACACGACGGTTTTCATCGCCACGATGAAACACGTCGTTCCAAAACCGAAGTGTGTGGTAAGGGCCCCATACACTACGATGAAACACGACGGTTTTCACCGCCACGATGAGACACGTCGTTCTAAAACCGAAGTGTGTAATAGCAAAACACGACGGTTTTCTACAGGGCCCCATACACTACGATGAAACACGACGGTTTTCACCGCCACGATGAAACACGTCGTTCCAAAACCGAAGTGTGTGGTAGAAAACCGTTCGTGTGTACAAAATGTTGAACCGTCGTGCCAAAAATCAAGCTCGAACTGAATTTCAAACCGACGGTGAAACACGACGGTTTTCTACCACACACTTCGGTTTGGAATGACGTGTTTCATCGTGGCGATGAAAACCGTCGTGTTTTATCGTAGTCTGTGGGGCCCTGTAGAAAATCGTCGTGTTTTTCTATTACACACTTCGGTTTTAAAACGACGTGTTTCATCGTGGCGGTGAAAACCGTCGTGTTTCATCGTAGTGTATGGGGCCCTGTAGAAAATCGTTCGTGTGTACGAAATGTTGAACCGTCGTGCCAAAAATCAAGCTCGGACTAAATTTTAAACCGACGATTAAACACGTCGGTTTTCTACCACACACTTCGGTTTTGGAACCACGTGTTTCATCGTGGCGATGGAAACCGTCGTGTTTTATCGAGTCTGTGGGGCCCTGTAGAAAACCGTCGTGTTTTTCTATCACACACTTCGGTTTTAGAACGACGTGTTTCATCGTAGTGCATGGGGCCCTTACATCGTTGGCTTGGTGGCTCCAACGGTGTAGCCATGGCCGATGGAAAAAACAACACTTATGATGGAGCATCGACTTTTTTTTGTAGAATTTAACAAAGCTACCAACGTTGCTTCAACATTTGAATGAAACAACATGCGTAATGCATTATCCGTGTTTGAAACATTATAGGTCAAAAAACGAATTCCTAAACGTTAAAATCACCCATTCAACTACATTCAAGATCGACAAAAAAAAAACCTCACAAGCACAGCCAGAATCGCAAGCAATCCATCGAGGTCTGTTACGCTTTAATTAGGATGAACAATCCTGTTAGATTATGATTCTTGAGTAGCAGTGGCAGCTGCTTATTTTTCCAAAAATGGATGATAACAGCATTGATGCTGTGGAAGGCAATATGGCAGTCCCTTGAATATAAAATGTATGCCATTCGGCCCCAAAGGTATTTTTTTTTTTGCGTCGTTAAAACTTCGAGCACAGCACAAAAAGACCTCACTTCTTGGCCTACTGACATAAATAACTATTGCTGTTCTTTTGGGTTTGTTGTAGTAATTCGTAAGAAAATATTATATCATGAATGAAGGGCAAAATTCATTATTTCTTTGGCCACAACTACACGCCAACGTTACATAGGTAGGTATTTATTTTTGAAAAAGTGGAATAATGAAAGAAGCCGAAGAACCATTCGGACGATTGGTACTTATGAAATTAGCGAGGAAATTAGGTAGCTATCTACAGAAAACAGCAAGGGCATAATATATACCTTATTATTCCAAAAAATGAGACTCTGAGAAAAAGCTTTCAAAATAACATAGAAAATAAGCAATAAATAAAACACACGGCAAAGCCGAAACGAAATAAAACAACCGGAGGAGCAGAGGTCAACACCATTTTTCTCGCAATTCGCAAAAAAAAGACATCATCGAAAGACGAAGTTCGGATTTTACGCACATATTTCACGTTTTGCCCATAATCATGAAGGTGAAATGATCCTGGGTGAAATGTACGGTTCTCTGCTGGGTAGGAATGAAGCTGGTAGTAGCATCTGTCAATGCATAAATTTTGATAAAACGCAGCTGTACTGATTATAAATTTGGTTATTTTTTAAAACTTAATGCATACCAAGATACAGTAATTGCCTGAATCTTGCTTTCAATTTCAAAACAGTCCTCTGAGACTCGTTTTCTAGAAAGTTTGAAAAACTCTTGCGTCGTGAATTTTTCAAGGAACCTATGCCTATGAAAGGCTTCTACAAACTTTTGCTCATGATAACATATCGCACCGGCAGGGTAATTATTGATGGAATATCATGTCGAGTAAAATAGGTTTTTTGTGATCAGGATTTAGGATTTACACAATAAGGTGGTGGACAATAATGTATAATTTCAATGAAATCGATGATCCATTAAAGTAATAAGTAAATAAAAAATATTCGTATCAAAAGAAATTTCAGAAAAACTTACCTACTTTGTTTAAAACGTTTGTAAAACTAGAGTTTTGGGACACACTAAAACGGAAAACGGAAATATTTCGCGCCTTGATTCTACGTCATAGCACCCTCAACTTAACCCCACTTTTTGTAATCGCCCTCTGATTGGCTAAAGCCGATTTTGACATTTTTGTTGCCACATGTAGAAATGCGAAATTTAAATGAGTTAATAAGGATTATACCTATCTTTTATTTTTTTATAATGTAGTAAAGGACGAAAATAGTTTCTAGCTAGTGAAATGTGTGATGATTTACTAATGAGAAATTTGGCAAATGGAAAGTGGCTCATTGCCTATACGGCCATTTTTTTGGTGCCAAAATACCTGGAAAAAAACGGCTTCATTTTCCAACTCCATGTTAATACTCCTCTTTACCTTTACCTGCTCTAAGGATATAACATATAACAGAAATCAAAGAATCATCAACTACTATTTATTTGTTATGAAGATTAATAAAAAAAATATTTCAAAAAATTGTCAACTACCCTATTTATGTGTATTATTGAAGTCGCATATATCAATGCCTAAATCGAATGTTATGGGAAATCCAGAAAAATCTATCTGACTTCACAAAAGAAAAACTTTTAATTTTGAGCATTTTTCAAAACATTTTCGTTAGTTAGGTTCTTCTTAAGCGGTACCATGAGCGGAAGACATCAAGTGATGATCACCCTCCGTTTGAACACGTTTAGGTTGCAACATTCAGCAAATGGACTACGAGGCAGGAAGTTCTAGCGGTGGGCAGTTCACCACCAGAAAAAAGGTTTTAGAGGTCCTCTGGGGTAGCCAACTTTACCACATATGGAGGATGCCTGTAAGGTTCTTGTGGCTCTTAAAATAACTTATCATACAATGCTTAAATATAATGAGGCTGGCCAGATTGTCAGAACATAGCTCCGTGATAGCGATAGAATAACGACAAATCGGCCACCTTGCGTCTATGTTCGAGAGCAAAGAATCGGTGAGAGTTGGATTATCGATCTTCATTGCTCTTCTTGGTACTGCATCTAATAGAGCCAACTTGCTTGGGAGCATCACTCCAGATGTGGGAGCAGTATTTCAGTATTCCATACATACTCTGATTTGAGCCTTATAAGGAGAAGAAGTTGTTTAGAAGTAAAGAAGTTTATTACTATTACTATTTAGTCGATATGTTCAGGTTGACTGCTTTTTCCATTGCTTTCGATAGTACAGACTACAGATATAGGTGAAATAAATTAAAATAAAACGCAATTAAACAAAATAACTTAGTTTTTATTAATAAAACCTCTGCATTTGCAACAATGAAAACATAATTCTGAATGTATCAAAAACCAAAACCTTATAAAACAGTTCAAATAAATACCAATCTGAATATACCTATTATTTATAAATAAAAGGAATGTAGATTTACCCCCTGTCGAAAAACAAACTACATATTGGACTTGTACCATTTATAGGAGCCCGAGTAGCTGTAATTATTTTTCATCAGCAACTCATCGGCTTCTTTAGGCCCTCGACTACCAAAGACATAAGGTGTGGGCCTAATCCTCTCTTCTTCAATCTGGTGCAATAAAGGCGTAAATATTCTCCAGGCTTCGCTAAGTTCGTCTGATCTAACGAAATGCATTTGGGAACCACAAAAAACGTCAAGGATCAATCTTTCGTAGGCGTCAGGCAATTTTACATTCTAAATAAGAAACTAATTGATAACAGGTCAGTCAATTTAACTCAACTTACAGCATATCTGTGTCCATAAGTAAGATCAAGTTCAGTTTCTTCCATATCGAAGGCCATACCTGGTGTTTTGACCATAAGTTTTACATACAAAGCTTCACCTGGTTGTACTCTTATAACTAGTTCGTTTCTTTTTGCTTTGCCGTCAAAAATATCTCCTGGTACATCTTCAAATTGAATTCTAACTTCTGCTTTCCTTTCGTTAAGTGCTAAATATCGATTAAACCGTTTATTATTATTGTTTTTCTATTAGCAATAAAATGTATTGCTACGAAATCGTTAACGCCAGAAAAAAAAACGGCGTCCGCCAGGCTGGCAAGAATCGATGGCGGAAATACTAGAATCTAGCGAATTATTCTACTTTAATCTGGAAAATTAGATTATCGGGTGTATTCTAGATTTTACAGGAATAGATTTAGGGATATATAAGAAGGCCGGCATTGATTTGTAAGTTTAGTTTCAGTTCGACTGTGATACGATTTAAATAGTGATTGTAAAGAGTTTGATTGTTGAGTTTGTTAATAAAGTAATTAGTGTCAGAGTGTTTTGTTAAGTGGAATAAATTATTGCTGTGTTAATTGGACTTTGATTTTTGGAATAAACGAAACGAACCACAAACCCAAAATTTTTGTCAGCAGGCAACCCAAAGCCGCGACAGTATCTTACCTTTTCCACACTTCAAAATAAAGGGTACTCCATCCCATCTTTCATTATTGATCCTTAGTACTGCGGCAGCATAAGTAGCAGTTACAGAGTCGTTAGGTACTGTAGGGTCATCTAGATATCCAGTTTGGGCTTCACCTTCAGCTTTAGGATCGCCCACATATTGTCCCAATACTACATCATGTTGAGTCAATTCTCTAATGCTTTTCAAAACTTTCACCTATTCATTAAAATCTATTTTATACAATCCTACTTAACAAGTCAAACATTGAAAATTTTAGTTACCTTCTCATTTCTAATATCATCAGGATGCACTGTTGCAGGTTTTTCCATAGCGACCAAGGTCAAAATTTGCAACAAATGATTTTGCATAATATCCCTAATAATTCCAAATTCATCAAAATATCCTCCTCTACCCTGAGTTCCGAATGGTTCCTTAAAAGTAATTTGAATGGATGCTATGTTGTCTCTATTCCAAACTGGACCAAAAATTCTATTTCCAAATCTTAATGTCATGAGATTTTGCACCATTTCTTTGCCCAAGTAATGGTCAATACGGTAAATTTGTTGTTCAGTGAACAATGAACCTAAGTGGTCCGATAATTTTTGAGAACTGGCTGAGTCACGACCGAATGGCTTTTCTATTATAACTCTTGTCCAACCTCTAAAAAATATGTTTTAGTTTTTTATTACTTTATTACCTAATGAAAAATGTAATTCCTCACCTTTCAGCCATACATGTATTTTTAATTAAAACAGTTACACTTTCAAAAACTGAAGGGGGCAAAGCCAAATAAAATAGTCTATTAGCCACAGGTCCTTTTTCATAAAGACTAATTTCTTGATTTAATTTTTCAAAGTCTGATCTCACATCATATTTTCCAGAAATATAATAATTTAATTTCCAAAATTCCTCATATCGCTGTTCTTCACCCTTTCTCAGTTTCATAAATGGTTCACATTTTGTTCTTATATTTTCTATTGTTGTGTTGCTCCTAGCATAACCAATGAAATGAATATTGGTGGGTAGTAAATTGTCTCTGTATAGCCACCACAGGGTTGGGTAGATTTTTTTGTGAGCCAAATCACCCTAAAAAATTTGAATATTCATATTAATATACTTACAATCATCAATAACTAAGTAAGTTTCTTAACATTCTTTGGCAAAGATAGAATAGCATTTTTTTCCTGTCTAAATTTTATTTTATGAAAATACTTCTTTTTAACAGGGTCGTTTTCAGGTAGATACTTTTGTATTTACCAATTAACAGCTAACTCAGTAGGATAAAGTCCATTTCCTGATAGAGCCACTGGAAATGATTCACCCAAGAAATATTTCTGAGCGGCATGAGAAACTCAGCACTAGCTTTAAGGGTTAATAAATGAGTAATGACTAACATCAACTAGATTTCACCAAATTTTGACCTTTCATCAGTCTCTAAGCAGTCAGTTTCTCTATATCAGATTTTCACATGACTTCTGAAAACAACATCACAATATGTAGCAATATACGATACCAGGACGCTGTCAACAGATGATAAGATATTGGAATTGGAAGATAGTTGACAATCATCAAATGCGACATACAACATAGAGGGTTCAACAAAAATCGAAATACGAATCCTTCTGACTAAAAAACTAAAAGTTGGAACCCAGTCACTGGATTGTTCTGATTGCCAACAACTACAAAACACGAGACAAAACTGCAGGTTCACCATTTACTAACCAATCTATTGTTTCCAGTCAAACGAATATTTCGATTAATGCATATTTATGTAGGATAGGTGCCCATTTCATTTGTTTTTATTGAAAAACAATAAGGTTATAATAGGGAGAGCAAGTATCCCTCAATACAGTATATTGACAATACAGATTGATTCTTGAAATAAAGGTGAAAAGCAAAAAAAAAATGTGACAATTTGACAAGGACAAGCAGGTTTGTACCAATTTAAAAAAAAAATCAATACATTTAATTCAATTTGTGTTATGGCTTTGTAGTGGTCGCAGCAAAACTAAAAATCTCACTATTCTATAGGAAAAGCTGGCTATAAAATTCTGTACCTATGCATTTATGATATTTGTTATTGCCTAGGTTATTAGAAATAAAATATCATATTGGGCATTTTGAAAAATACGAAAACTTTAGAATTCGCCTGTAGCGCTCAACCTGATCCTGAAAGCTTTGATTTGGTTTTGCCATGTAATGATCTCCAACTGGCCCAGGGCTTCTACATCAAATGTTTGACATATTTACTGTTTGTTGTTGTATTAAAACATCCACTCTGTAGTGTTGAAAAAATATTTTTTTATTACAAAAACTTAAGAAGGTACCTGATTTATAGAAATGAACTACCTCGAATACTTTTTCTAGGGAGAAATATAACTCTCACACAGAAAAAAAATCATTAATTTTTGAAATAATTTATTGCAAGTGATGCATTCATGGCTCGATTCAAGGTCATCATCAGACAGGAAGTTAAAATAAACGGGTCAATAAAAAAATCGACAAAAGCAATTATTTTAAGTTGTATTTTCAAATTGCTCCAATTTTTCAAAAAACCTTTTTGCCTGAGGTTTAAAGGTTTTGAAAGACCATTTTTTTTCCACATTGAGCTGCAAGAAGGAATATCTCAATGAGGATGATATTGTCAGGATATACAGAGTGTTCAAGAAAGTAATGCAAAAAAACAAAAGGTTGGGGACTTCCAACTTTGCGAAAAACTTTTTTACATGAGGTTTAAAGGTTTTGAAAGACCATTGTTTTTCCACATTGAGCTGCAAGAAGGAACATCTCAATGAGGATGATATTGTCAGGATATACAGAGTGTTCAAGAAAGTAATGCAAAAAACCAAAAGGTTGGGGACTGTGCCAATAAATTTTTGTGTGGAGGCAGACTTTCTTTTCAGGTGAGTTTTTAGGTATCCAGTGAAAAAGCAAATATTTAAGTAATACATTGCAGCAAAAGATTAGCAATATCAGCATAACCAAGATGAAAAATAGAATGTAAGAAGAAATTCGATTTTATTATATTTGTCAAAAAACGAACGAAAAAATAAGAAGCAGCAATAAAAACATTAAACATAAATCCTTATCAAACTTACAAACTTAAGTCCCAAACGTCTCTTCACTCTCTAATTATTATCATTCTTCATGATTAGAAATTGTTGCTTACTCCAGATTTGACTAAAGAAAAAATAAAATTTTGTAACAATGTTCCTGTCAGCCCTGTTACCGGCAGTTTTGTATTACCCCATCCTAAGACATATTTCAACTAAATTTTTTATTGCAAAAAAAATCATGCTAGAAACAACCATAGGCGTAGTTTTAGTCTCGATTCATTTTGCTTGATTTCGAAAATTTACAATTCAGTAAGTATTTAAATTTCTCACCTTTTATTTAGAAGTAGGCATATGTACATACCAAATATAGTATGTTTTATACCAGATCAGTCCGATTCTTAAATACGCCTACGGTAAAGTTAAGTCTTGATTTTATTATCAACCTTGCAAATCTCTTCTTAAAAAAACCTTGAAGATGACCTTTGCAAAGGTTGAATACAATTCTCCCTATCGTCTTATTTGTTTGACAGTTGTTTGAACTTTTTAAAAGGTACCATGAAGTCTGTAAGTGATCTTTTATTTGAGTACCTATTTATGATGAAGATGATGAAAAAATTATTTAAATCCTCGGTTAGATCAGATAGGTAGAAAAAGGAACCTATTATTTTTAGTCTTTCAATTCATATACTGGGATGTTAAGATTATACCTAATAGGTACTAGATAACGAAACGACCAGAATCGCTAGGTGCAAGAGATGCAAAATAAAAGAAAGGGGACGAAGGTACTACTATTTTCAGCCATGGACAACCAGACAGACACTATGTTGTGTTGTAGAGGTGAGGTATCTACTATGGATATTTTTTATAGGTACCTACCTACAATGATTAGATGACAAGTGAAATTGTGATGATGCTATTAGTGATTACATTGTGTATTAAATAAATATGACTTACAGAAGCTCCCAAAGTAACAAATATATGAGGGTACTGGCCATCGAAGTGTGTACCTTCGTGGTCCATATCCTTGGATTTCAAAGATTTTCTGTATAAAGCCAGACATACTTCTGCGTTTTCTATAACAATAAAAATATAAATTTGCAACACTTGAGATAAATCAAAGAGGAATAAAAATATATAAAAGTTAGTACCCTACCATCGTAACACTCCAAGTTTGGACAACAAGAAGCCATTTTTTGAAGATTATAAGATAAAGATGATTGTTGTTTAAATTATTGGACTGAAGTGAAAAAATTTTACCAAGTAGTACCGATATAATCTGATGACTTTCATTATATTTTCAATAACACACTTTAATTACAAATTTGATTAGTTTCAAGGTTATGTTTTGTATCATGTAAGCCAAGCCAAGCGTATTTGAAAATTTCCCGCCTACTTCAAAAAGTTAAAATAAAAGAAACTTACGACAATCTGAGTTATGGTTGGAGCAATGGGCGAAACCATTTTTTCTGGACATTTTTTATAAGCAAAAATAAAATAAAAACAAACGCCACCCTAGAGGTCCTAGACAAGGTACCACGCGATTTTTATTTTATAGTATTACTGGGTACTTCCATTAATAAAAGTAGACGCGGTGATAGGCAACCAACAATGCAGATAAACTGCTTCAATGAAATCTTATACAATTTATTGGTATATAATACGAGGTGCGTTTAAAAAATAAATGGCCTTGTAGACTACTGATGCTATTTACACAGCTTAGTAGTCATAGTGACTGTGATTATAATAACTGTGCTTCAAATGTTATTTTAAAGCCGCGTACAGACCGAATTTCCAACGCTAGCCAACGGCACGTGTGAACTATATGTTGGAACGCGTTGGCTTTGGTGTGTACGGCAATGTGGATGATGTTCTCAATTCCAACGCCAACGACAGCAGCACATGTATCGTTGGCGTTGGTTTACCTTGGAAATTCGGTTTGTACGCGGCTTAACGTCTGCACTTATTTGAAAAGATTCTCCTTGTTTATCGTTGCTTAGGGCAAGCGCGCACTACCTATTTATTGTCGCGCGACTGTTGTCGCTAGAATGGAACATCAATGTTTTAACGAACATGCATGCATTCTGCGACAAAATAATCGCTGCGGATAAATAATAGAACCAGTCCTATTTCACGGCGACGCGACTGCGACAAAATTATCGCACGACAACAAATCGCTAGTGCGCGCTTACCCTTAGAGCAGTTGCATCCATATTATCATGCAGCAGGCGGCATATCCTGGCAAGTATCTCTCCCTCAACAGAGAGTAAAGATATTCCTCTGTAGTTTCCACATTGAGCTTCGTCTGCCTTTTTGAATATGGTAACTATGGAGCCATCTCTGACTCTAAGTTCGGCAGGTATGGTCTCGTAGTAATTAGTAATCCATATTTAACTTATCATGATGTTGGTTCGGGCACTATAGTGTGGAGCTTCCTTGTTTGAAGAATTCGGCAGGAATGCCGTCAGCTCCAGCTGATTTATTGTTATTTAGTTGTCTGATTTTTTTTGAAAATCGTTTATTTCTTAAATCATTCATTACAATAACAATGATACAATTTCTCTAAACAGTGCCTGTAAGCACTGGTCTTGAGAAAATAATCTCAGTTTTTGTTTACCTTATGTCTAAGTGTTGCTTAAGCTTTTTTACAAATATATTGAAATTTCTTACATTTTTAATTTCTCCAGGTAGGAGGTAGGTACCTTATTATAAGGTTTGGAAGCTCGGACTATTGGATTATTGAGACCTATATTAGTTTTAGTTACAATTTGGTAAATATCACAGTTGGTTCTGGTATTATAGTGGTGTACATCATTCGATAAAATAGGTAATATTAACACCTATTGCTCTTCTGACTTTGTTTTAATATTTTATGCATAAGTTTATCCTGCTCGAATTCATATATTTTAAATATCGGACTTATGTTTAGCTCTTCATATAATATAGCCGAATTGGCGAGTCTGTCAAAATTGAATTGATTGCCTATTCAACCTCCTCTTATCTAGAAACCTCGCTCAGTTCTTGTTGTATTGGTTTCTGTGGAATTTCGTTGAAAATGTCATTATTCATATGAGATTATCTGTTCCTCCCAACGAGAATTAATGTTTTTAGGCAGTCTTGTGCCATCTTTGGATCGTAAGGGATTGAGTCCTTGAATGGTTGGTCCGTATACCATCTTAGTAGCCTAAGAGGCGTTTGATTTTGTTATTCACCATTGGTTCTTCAATGCTCGCGTTCGCCTTTGAACTTCTGCTTTTGCTTGTTGTTGGTACTGTCTTTTTTTACAGTCGAGTCGGGGTCTCTTTTCCATGCATTATGCGGTCTTCCTTTTCTTTTTACAAGGTATTGAATTTCAGTGTTGTTCTCATCAAACCAGTGTTGATGTTTCTTCTGTATGTAGCTGATTGTTTTTTCCGAGGCAGATATTATTGCGGTCTTCAATATTTTCCAGTGCTCCTCAATGCTTTCCGGGTACTCTAACGGAATTTCTGGCTCGGAGTGGCTTGGAAATTTGTCGTCTTGAAAGCGTTCTACATTAAATTTGCGTTTGAACTCTGAACTCCATTTTTTAGCGTCTGGCTATCAGCCGATGGTCCGCCCAGTCCGCACTTGTTAAAGCTCCCGTAATGCAAACGTCATTTCGGTCTCTAGAACGTAGAATTATATATATAATGGATTACATGCCAGTGGCTTTGAACTAGGGTGTTGCCAGGAAGTCTTGAATTTCTTATTTTGTCGAACGAGTGTCATTCTGAGCATCTGGTTAGTAGGCGAAGTCCGTTCGAGTTCATTTTTCCGTCGCCTTCCTTGCCGATCAAGCCTTTCCATAGATCTTACTCTGTACCAACCCGGGCGTTAAAATCACTTAAAAGAACAAGTTTATCAGATCTAGGTACAGATGATATGGTTTCACTAAGTAACTAAGTTGGGCATAAAATTCCTCTTTCTGACTTTGGTCAGTTGTGAGGGTTGGAGCGAAGGCGCTGAATAGCGTAGCTTGTTGGTTGTTGCTGAGGTTTAGCCGCAGTGTTATCAGTCTTTCGCATATTCCGGATGAAAGCTCTGCAAGATGGCCCATAAATTAATTTTTCATGGCGAAACTTCGCCTGCTCTTCTGGGTTTTGCTTAAAGCTGCAAAACCGATGTTAAATCTCCTTAATTCCCGTGCCACCATTGCTGGTCTTCGTTGTGGTCTGTATTGTATTTGTGTTATGGTATCCACAAGTGTACGATTATTCCACGTGGCAATCTTTTAACCAGTATTCCATATTTATTATAAGACCTTCTGTATGCCGATTATAGTGGTGGAGTTCTCGAGAAAATTAGAGAAGGCTTGAAACGGCATACAAGCAGTTCGCTACACGTACGGAATTGGACGGTAAGGCGAATTATGGTGAATTAGAGTCTTGCAAAAAACTTTTGCAGTAACTTTTGCGTGTGATAGTACTGCTAGTTTTGAGTTATTTTCTTGAATAAAATTTATTTAGGCTGGAAAAAGTGGTCGCACCTATCTACGAACCCTAAGCAACAGCATAAATTTAAAATTAGGAAGTGAGCGTATCATTTATTAAATAAACACCAAAATATTTGGAAAAAAGTAAATTAATAATAATAATAATAATTATTATTATTATTATTAGGTTTGTTCCAACACGTCAAAAACCGTCCCATGAACAGTTTCGAAACCACTCTGTAAACGAATTGCGGGTTCTACGCACAAATTTTTGGCTTTGCGCAGTATCGTGATGGTACATTTTACGGTTTCTTGACTTGTTGGAACAAAGCTATTATAGGCGACTACTAAACAATTTTTAAGAATAAGCAAATGGTCAGTTCACAGTAAACATTGCCGGGTAAGGGCGTAAGGGCCCAGTTTTTATTTTCAAATATCTTGGTTATTGGCACCCTTGAGCAAGAAAAAATTCATGGCAGAGTTGTAAGCATCAAGCAATAATATCATATTTTTTGTTTAAATAAACAATACTGTACGAGAGAAGAATATAGTATAGAATAGTAGAATAATAGATGATAATTATATTACCTGCAATCATAGTGAAAAATATATTGAATAGGTACTGGCAAATAACCAACGTATTAGAAAATAAAAACTGGTGGTGGTACTAACGGTTGGTAAAATACCAACCCAAAACGTACAATTACCTTGAAATTGCTGTGTGAAAAAGCCCTTAATATGTATGAATAAGTGACTGACCTGAAATTGGTAATCGCTGGAAAAATTGGAGATAAGAAATGTTTTTAGAGTTATTAAAGTATGTTATAGGTTATGTCACAAGATTCCTCGACTAATTTACGGCTTTTTCTGGGTTTAAAAAGACGCAGAACATTATTGATGAAAAAACAGAACACAATCCGGAAAATCAATTTTAAAGTATGATAACAATATTGCGTGAGATACGGACACGGCATATTTTCTAAGAAAATAACAACTAATGAACCTGTTTACTTCAAAATGTTTATAGTTCTTTCTACAATCTACTGCAAATCTCAAAATGTGCGGATAATGCATTTTTATCGATTTCATGTCTCTATGAGGTCGTCCGTTCCTTCGATCTCTAGCGAGGCAAAGCTATGTTGCCAGGTCAGGAATATTTGTGACTTTAACTTCTAGTCCAAGAAACGGGGATCTGAAAAGAGGGTTTACCTCAACATAATTAGAAGTTAACATTTTTTGGGGGGGATCGGTTCATTTTCATGTGCTTAATAACATATTAAGTTTGCGATCTTGTGCTTCCATAGGGTTTTTAGTTAGGGGTGGTTTTTAGGGGTAATTTGCGGTTTATGGAGAACGCTGCTCAAAGGGATGGTCCAATAGCAAAAAGTTTCAAATGATTGTTGAAGCTGAAGTTTTTTGCTATAAAAAACTCAGCGACAGCACCCTTCTATCTTCTATAGTTTTTTTTCTGCAGCGTCTTGAATACTAGCATGTTTTTATTCAAGGTCACTGAATCAACATTTCACGTGTTTTCGCGCATTTGATGCAGCAGCAGCCAAATGCATAATCCGATTTCAATTTTTCAAAAACCACATTATTGCTGATGAAATGCACTCTCGAATGCTTTTTTGTTTGAATTTTTTGCTTGAAAATTAAGCAAGCACGGACTTGTCTAATGTGCGGGGAAGTTGTAAATTACATCGAAAACTACCCCTTTCTTGCATTCACTGTAATTTCTAAACGGGGCCAAATATTTGGTGACAGTTTTCGACAATCGGCAGTCCATTTATTCCTCTCATATTGCCCCAGTGGATTTTTTTTTGTTAATTACTCAATGACTTATTGGCCTGAACACGTCGCGCGGAATTTTTAAAAAAGTCAAAAAAAATTAAACTTGTCGCACAGCGCTGAAATTTGGTACGATGGCTTTATTTATTGTTCTCATGAATATACTGCAATTTTAATTGTTGCAGCAGTCATATGAAGCAATTAAAATTGCAGTATATTCATATAAACAATAAAAAAAAGCCATCGTACCAAATTTCAGCGCTGTGCGACAATTTTAATTTCTTTTGACTTTTTAAAAAATTCCGCGCGACGTGTTCAGGTCAATAAGTCATTGAGTAATTAATGAAAAAAAAAATCCGTTGGGGCAATATGAGAGGAATAAATGGGCTGCCGATTGTCGAAAACTGTCACCAAATATTTGGACCCGTTTAGAAATTACAGGAATGCAAGAAAGGGGTAGTTTTCGATGCAATTTACCAGTTCCTCGCACATTAGACAAGTCCGTGCTCGCTTAATTTTCAAGCAAAAAATTCGAACAA